CCGAGCAACGATATTTGGAGTCGATAAAACCAACGTGGACAGACGATACAAGCGATTAAGCGCGAGTTAATGGACGCGCAAAGTATTTCACGTGCTCGACAGAGAATTTGGACACATAATTGAGATAGGTATATCGCAAAACAAACGTACGAGATAAGAAATATTAGAAGAATATTTTACAAAATTGTTTCGCTTATTTTTCAAGTATGTAAAATACTTATCGGGCACGTTAAATGATATCTTATGTAGAATTTAGGACGAGATTCGTTAATTTGGAGTATACAAAGGATTAAAGATCGATCTTTTTTAAATAATGAAAATACATATTTTCTGGACGATTTGATAAAATGACGTTTAATCGGTTCTCTTAGAACTAAACGCGTTGATCTTGTCGTGAGATTTCCTGCAATTTTGTTCCATTAATAATGACTTTATCATAGGATTAATATCATAGGATGTTTATCGTACGAAATGTTCAATGTTACGAGTAGGTACCATACTTTTGTTACTCCTGCATTCCGATGCAGTCGTTGCGTTTTTGTACCTTCAAATTTTGCATAAATGCATAAATATTCATGGTTTGCACGTAAGAAGATCAAACGCAAATATCCAAGAATCATGGACGAGAAATGCGCATCTTGCAGCGAACAGTACAACAGTGTCTCTTCTCTCTGGCGTCCTTCTAACTCTGAATGCATTCATATTTTAGATCCTGGCATAGAGTTGCACGCGAGAGAGGCGTATGCTCGACCGAGGATAGAAGAAGGTATGGAAGTGGCAAGGAAAGGCGTGTCGAGACAGTCGAGGAGAAAAGGAAAGAAGAAAGCCCAGGATCATCGTCATCTTCTCGCGATGCCAAGCGAGGCAAACTTATGTAACGCTTTCATGCAAGACAAGGCCAAGGTTTCCACGACTCAGACAGACGGTTCTCGGCTACACCTTCGTTCATAAGTGTTAGCATATCTATGGAAAATATTTTTTCTTCGTAGAATATATTTCGCATTAATTTCACGCAATGTAATTTACGAGATACAATTATAAAGGATATATTTTCAATTGTTACGTAATTGTGGGAAAATCGAGAACGTAAAAATGCACAGAATTCACATAACGATACAAACTACAAGTAGAGATGTCTAAAGATAGAATATTCGTCCTACTATTTAGTACTATTGCAATTATTATCAAGTCAAATTTCTTTAACCAGTTAACCGCGTTCGACGTGTATACACGTCAGTGTTTGATTTTAGCTACGCACACCGTCATGGATTTCCGAAACTAAACTTCGTGGCAAACGGATTAAAAAGCAAGCGATTTCGTTTCGTTGTTAACTCGACCACCATGTTTGAACTTTTCCAAATTTCACTCGTCTGAACTGGTTGGAAGACGAAGAGATTTACGTAATTCACTGGTTCGCTAGATTTTTCCATTCGGCAAGGGCTCGATTAACCGGACGTTAACTAAGATTTCCTTCCACTAAGTGCAGTTGCACGGTATCGTATTTTTACGATGAAGGTATTTAATAATTATAATGTTGATCGAACGATTCGTTTCGTAAATTAAATCAGATGAAATTAAATAAAAAATCTTAAATACGCGATTTTGTGCGGATTTCCCATACTTATGAACGGAGGTGTACGTACGTGTGGTCCCTCTGCTTCATATTGTTTTATGCCACAGTCGGCGACGCATTTAATTACGTCTATCGAAAGAAACGTCGCGGATCTTGTTCGTCGGACCACCAAGATGGTGGAATTTCGAGTCAGGAGGCGGCTGCAACGCGTAACAGGACAATGCTCGATTGTATAATTTGGACGCGTCCTCCGTGGGGACGGATAACTTCCTTTGAGAACAGACCTTAGCCACCGTGTGTACCGTGTAATTATTTTCTGAGATCGTTGAAAATATAAAAAGGCTGTTCGCGCGAGAATTGTTTGACAAGGACTCGAAGGTTTCGTCCGGTTGATGTTTGTGGAGGTTTCAATGTCGTTGCTGTTAAGGTTTCTTAAGGTGTGTGTGTGGTTTAAAGCACCGAATGAAAAAATGATTTGCAGATCCTTTCGGCTAAATGTTACATCGACTTGGACACGTTTTATTTAAAACGAAGATTACGAATAAAGAAGACGATTAATTAATCCAATAAAAGTAATTGGTGGTTTAAAGCGGCGAATGAAAGTGATTTTCGGATCTTTTCGGTTAAATGTTGTCAAGACTTGGACAATCTTTATTTAAAATGGAAATTACGAATAAAGAGGACGATTAATTATTCCAATAAAAGTAATTGGCGGTTTAAAGCAACGAGTGAAAATGATTTTCAGATTTTTTTTGGTTAAATGCCATTGACTTGGACACCTTTTACTTTAAAATGGAGATCACGAATAAAGAAGACGAATAATCATTTGAATTACAATAATTCCTGGCTTAAAACACCGAATGAAAATGACGACTTTGACATTTTTTTGGTTAAACGCTATTGGCCTGGACGCTTCTTACTTGAAATGAAAATTACGACTAAAGAAGACGATTAATTATTCCGATAAAAATAACTGGCGTCTTACAGCAGCGAATGAAAATGGCTTTGAGATATTTTCGGTTAAACGCTATCGATTTCGACGCTTCTTACTTCGAATGAAAATTACCAACGAGGAAGACGAATAATCGTCCCAACGAAGACAAAGAGTACATTTGAAAGCGAAGCCGCGTGCGAGCCAATTTCAAAATATTTGGACAAACGATTCGCACGCCAAGAAATGCAAAAAGAAATGTGGTACCGCGGAAATGTAGCTAATAAAGACGAACAGAAATGGATCTGCCACGTTTCCTCCTCGTAATTTCCAAATTGAAATCGACGTGCAACGGAACGACAATGTCACAGCGCTTAAAGCTTGCAAGTAACGTTCCTCAAAAACAATGAAATTCGCACTTTACACGCGCAACGTTTTCAATACTCCGAGAAATAATTATGTTCGCTGCGTTGGAAGCGGCGGTACCTGCTACGCGTTTCCACGGAAATTACAGTGTAATTTAGTAACAATTTCAACCGTAATTATCGCACACAAATACCGCCCTTATTTTCAGATTTTACACGTCAAAAATTCACAGCGCAGCGTGTAGTTACACATTGTTCTTTGTTTTCTTTTTTCTTCTTTTCTTTCCTCATGCACGTTTCTCGAGGCGTGCGATTGACACTGAAAGCATTCCTTCTCGTTAGGTCCGTTATCGGCTCCTATCTTATCTTTCGAGAAGGTTTCCTTCCTTTTTCTCACTTTCGATGCTCCCCTTCGTCGCAGACAGTTTTTGTTCGCTTCGTCGGCTAATAACGGGAAACGGTGGAACGGAACAGGCATCGAGAAATCTTTAACGAGTTCCATGGAACTCGAGCGAGAACTGTTTTTGCTCCGTTATTCGTCACTTTTAGTGTCAATCGGTATTCGTTCGTACACTGTCGCTTAAAAATTGACGCCAACAGCGCTCGTGTTCTTACGGTTTACGAAGAGGAATAAACCAAAGCATTTCAAATGTATCGGTTCGTTTCCTATCTCTGATAACGTCAAAGGGAAGAAACTTTTTCGCATTAACAGCAAACACGGACGATGGTAGTTACGTATCATCGTGTTACGTACACTAGTGAAGCGACGATGATTGTCGATATTCGACAAAATATTTTTCTGTTGTTCCTTTATGAATTACGTTTTTCAATAGCATTTCCATTTTTATTATCGCGTTGTTCGTGGAATATTTATAACGATTAGTATTTTTATGTACGTGTTTACGTAATGCGCATTGGAACGAACACGATACGTATATTAGCTTCTAATAAATTGATTTATCCGTGTACACTGCGATTCCAAATTCCTGGTACAAGTTAGTATACGACCATCATATTTAAACGTTTGGATTTTCCCTTCATAACTGCTCAAAAACTAATGGTCTAAAATGTCTGAACAATCGATTATGTATTGCATTATTCATCGAATTTTACTTGTGCTGCGCACGCTGCCTGTGAAACGGGTTTTCTTTTAATAAATGCAGTCACACTCCTCCTTCGTAAACTTAATGCGTTCGCCGCGATGCACGTCAGAATGATTTCCGGTACGGATCATAACGGAGTTGAAGTGTAAGCATCCGAATATCCGGAGACGGGTCTAACCGATGTCATGATTTTTTCGTATGTTTCTCATAGAGAAGAATTACATTCGATCTCTTCTATTTCTCCAACTTCGGATTTCTTACTACGTTATTTTTATAAATAGATCTCGAAATTTTTAACGGATACTTCGTACGTCGAACTTGAAATTAGTCTGTCGATACTTTGCAGTCTTTAATTCGTCAATGTTTCCCTTCGTTTTGTAAATTTGTCTGCTCTCGGATCATTTACATTTAGAATTTTCCCTTCTTTTTACACAGCTTTTTAACCATTTCACTTGTGACAATTTTGAATTCGATCGCAACTCGCTTTCAAATTTTCGTAGCTTAATTCCACTCGTGTCTCATCCGACGTACCAGATGCAAACTACCAGAAGAAAAATAAACTTCACTGTATGGATCGCCGAGACAGTCACCGTTACTTAACCAATTGTAAGTGTGAAACTACCTAAATGATACTACGATGACAGGTGATATTTTCCATGAGAGACAAAAATACTCGAACCATAAATATTTATAGAAATATTTATAAACCAGAAATGGCCAAATCCAAAAGCATTGCCTTGGTTTACCGTTTTAATACGACGTTGTGATACGCGCAAATTTCGATCGCCTCTGCTTCGTATAATATTTAATTCCCCACAGATTCTTTCGATCCTAAATACTCCCACAGAAGCTAACTACTAGTATCATACTTTACGTAAACATTTCGCCTTTATTTTATATTCAATCCTGGCCTCCGATTTCGCGCAAATACTTGCAATTTTACACGACTCGATCTTTCCCATTTTACGTCTTCCTTTTTCCCATTTCCCACTCGATCCACTTGGCGGCACAACGCCGGTATCACTCACCTGATAAGGATAAGCTGCTGGTCTGTAGTAGCTGCCGGTGTTAATCGCCGGGTAACTTTTGCTGCTGCTGCCACACATAGAAGCCATCTTTCATTGATTCCTCTTCGTTTCTCTTCCAGCACCAGTTTCTTGCTGCTCTTTTTCCACTCACGTCCAACTTCCACGGACAATGGGATCGCGTCGTCGCCGCCGCCGTCGTCGTCGTCGTCGTCGTCGTCGTCGTCGTCGTCTCAAACGTTTCCAGACGCGTTCATTGTTGGACACAGTTCCTTTTCTTCTGCAGTCGTCCGTGAACGATTACTACCGATTGTTAGAGAAAACAGAGGCGGAAATTTATTCGAGGGAAACGCGAGTGTTATACGCCTCCGCTCGAGCTGGAGATTCGCGCGCGTAGACACGCATAGGCCAACGATATGTTCGCGATGCCCGTGGTATTCAAGGTCACGGTTGTAGCACAATTTTTGTTTTCACAGTCCTCAACAGTCCCGTTAAGCACAGTTGCCGATATATTTATACGCGACCAACGTATTTTTTCTTCTCTCGCTCTGTCTACCTTTTAATGGGTCGACCCATAAAAAACCAGTTCATTTTTCAGACCTGTTTTAAATGCTTTCGAACCACGCTGGTCCCATTTTTCACTCCGTTTGAAACGCAGAATCTCAGCTTCGATACCGATCACCAGAATCGTTTGCAATTAACATCGATCGTTTTCGATCGCTTACGATTGCCTCTGATCACTTTTCCTATGACTTCTCGCACGATAAACTCCTCCCTATGTCCGACGATCAACCGCTAATCCAACGTCTTTACCAAGAAATAAAGAAACTCTAAATTTCGATCACGCGGTTATTTTTCCAAGCACCGCGATCGGTTCGATGTTTTCAACGACAAATTCATTCGCGATCGTTTAACCGATGTCCCTTTTGCTCGTCTCTCTTTTTTCTAATTTATAAGGAGCGAGTATTTTAGCGAACGTAGGCAAATCGTTGAACGATAGGTTTCGAAGAAAACGTATATCGTAGTTCGACGAGAGAGGATCGAGACGAGGCAGAAGGCACGCGGCACCACACGTCCTTCCTCCGAGACGGTTGACCACCGACTGACAGCAGGAGATCTTCACGCACCGCCGTTCTTCATCTTCATCCTTCCCGTTCGGCTAACAGGCACTGTACGCCGTTCATCCGACTTCTTCTTAAAGTCGAGCGAGTTAGCTTTGTCGGCTAGGCAACGCTTCACGCTACCTTACTTTTTGGCGGGGCCAC